CCCCAGTACGAGCACCTCCGGGACCAGCGACACCAGCAGAAGAACCCCCAGGAGTAGAGCCCTGAGGTGCAGAAGTGCGACGCTGACGGCGACCGTACCAGTCGTGCAGCTGCTGGTGAGGGGCACACGCGGACGAAGACGGCTACTCCAAGGAGACCGCGTAACAGCAGTCTCAGAACCCTCAGGCGACTCACCCCCAGACTCAGCACCCCCAGGCTCCGCACACGCAGGCTCAGCACCCCCAGACGCAGCACCTCCAGACGCCGCACCCCCAGACGTAGCAGCTCTAGGCTCCTCACGCGCAGGCTCAGCACCTCCAGGCTCCACACACTCAGGGCCCCCAGACTCAGCACCCCCAAGCTCTGCACCCCCAGGGACAGCACCACTCCCAGCAGGACCGGAGTCACCAGTGACCTCAACAGGCGCAGGCGCGGGGGGGTCTACCTGAGAGACACCTGAAGGAGCAGGACCTGGCGCGGGGAGGGGGTCTACCTGGGGAGGACCTGGGGCGAGAAAGAGCGGCGGGGGGGGGGCGAGGAGCAGTGCGGTAGGGGAAGAGGCGGTAAAAGGGGACCGACTCGTCAAAGGTGACGTCCTGAGACGCAAAGACACGGCGCGAGGCGGGGTCGTAAAACTGCCAGCCAGGCGCGTCAGGGACAAAGCCAAGGAAGACACAAGGAATGGCGCGAGGGGAGAGCTTGTCCGCGGTGGTATCGCGGACAAAGGCACGAGCACCCCAGACCCGAAAACGCGACGCGTCGCCAACCTTCCCCGTCCACAGCATTGTGGGCGAGGTCTTTGGCAAGGAGACACGGGGCCAAAGGTTGAGCTGATGCGCGGCGTACCGGACCGCAAACGGCCACAGAAAATGGGGGGCAGCCGCATGGATCATGGAGGTACGAGCGACCTCCATGACTAAGCCAATGCGGCTCTCAGCAACCCCATTCTGCTGCGGAGAGGTTGGAAGCGTGAAAGTCTGGCGGATGCCGTGCTCCGCACAGAAGGCTGCCACGAGGTCTGAGGAGAACTCACCACCTCGGTCAGAGTGCAGACGCAGGACAGGAAAGTCCGTCTGGAACCGCTCGCGGAGCTGGAGACGAGCAGCACGGATCCAGGGGATCAGAACAGCAGGGACATCCCCCTTGCGCTGCAAGGGGAAGACCGTGGTGTAACGCGTGTAGTCGTCGACAACTAGCAGGAAGTACCGCTCGTGGCCCGGTCCACGGACGCGGCCTAGGCCCCACACGTCCAGGTGGAGAGTCTGCAGTGGAGCCTCTATGGGAGGGAACGAGGAGGAGTGAGGAGCGGCGCGCTGCCGCCCCTCGACGCAAGGAATGCAGGGCGGCGCAGGCGAGGGAGGGAGGGCAGGCAGAGACCTGGGAAAACCAGAAACCAGGAAGCGAGAGTGCATGCTACGAAGGCGAGGCATGGAGGGGTGACCAAGGCGGTGGTGCCACAGGAGAGTGTCGTGCGACAGCCGGCGACACTCACACTGTGTAGCTACCTGAGCAGACGCGTGTAACTGGGGAGACAAAGGGGCGGAGCGTGACGCAGTGGTGAGGGTGTACAGACTGGACCCTGGCGCACGAGTGAACGTGGCCAGGTGGCGACCAGTCTGGGAGCACGTGCAAATCGCCACACGCTGCCGGCCAGGGGTGAAGGTTTCAACCCCCGCATCCTGGAGGACAGCGTTACTCACCAAGTTCGTAGAGAACGAGGGGAGGTGGAGACCAGACAGCTCACCAGACGGGACCGCCGGACACGGAAGCACAGTGGAAGACCGTGCAAGCACTGGGCCCCCAGGGGAGTCAGCCAGTGAGACAGGAACAGGTGCAGGGAGGGGAGTGACTGTGGTACTGTCGCGAAAGAAACAGCGGGAAGCACCAGAGTCAAGTGTAAATGTGTGCAAGGCCTGTGCAGGCACAGTACCAAGGGGAGCAGACTCACAAGCACCTAGTGCTGCAGGGGCTATACCAGGGGCTATACCAGGATCCGGCGGCACAGACAAGTAGCAGTCACCCTCAGCACTAACAGACAATGCATACATAGCAGCAAGAATTGCCTCATAGTCAAGATCAAAGATAGGTACATCACGCCTAAGCAAGTCTGCCCAGTTGGGGAACTCAGAAGCATCAGGAAACTTGGCGCGCCAGGCGTCGCTAAGTCGAGCGAAGCAGCGCTGCGCAGTGTGAAACCCTGTGCACTGGCGACCAGTGCGGGGACCTGTGCGGATGATATAGGGGCAGCGACCAGGACCCCCAGAAGCCCCACGCCCGGCATACCAGTCAAGAAGCTACTGGGAAGTGGGGGTCTGGCGCTGACGCTGCTGCTGCTGTTGGTGCTGCGGCTGCTGCTGGCCCTGACCACCACTGCCACCACCGCTCCCTCCTCCCCCACCGCCGCTGCTGCGAGGAGGTGCTTCTCGAAGTCGTCGACAGTCAGAGTGGTGGGGTCTAGCGCTAGGAAGTGGTCCCTGACAGAGCTAAGAGTGTCAGGGAGGCGGGTGACGAGGAAATAGAGAGTGAAGTACATCGGGGGGGGGGAGGGGGGTTTGCGGCGCAGAATTCGGCTGAAAGAGCGGCACGAAAGCGAGAGTCAGTAGCGCGCAGGTGAGAAATGAGGTCCTCAGCAGTGGTGAACGAGGAAAGGTCGGGGAACAGGTAGGGTAGCATGAGCCGACCTATGGCTGCAGTGGCCGGGGAGGAGTAGCGCGCAACTACAGCGTCGTACAGTGTCTTAGCAGTTTTGTGCTGGCTGAAATGCGCGCTTTAGGAATCGGCAGATGGTTCCTAATAGCTAGGCGTGCAGCAGCATCACGAGTCTGCCACTGTGAGCGTTCGAGAGCAGGAGCATCGGCAGTAGGGGCAACGGCAGTGCCAGACACGTAATCGAACAGTGAAACACCCTCTTTGGCATCAGTCATAAGGAACAGTTGCAGGTCGTCTAGCTACACAGTGAAACTATGGGGCGACCGTCAGGCTCGAACGCGAGAACATTAGGCGTCGTCATAACGGCAGCAGGCAACACAGGCAACGTGCAGGGCAGTAGCTTGCCGCACTCGAGCTTCTAAGGTGGCGCTCTAGACAGTAGCAGGCCGTGCAATTTTAAGGCAGCGGGCTCGGCAGTAGCGAGCCGCACAGGCGGGCACACGAGCAGGGCACGCGCGGCTGCTGGCTTCGTGCGGCTGAGGGCTGCGTGCGGCTGCTGGCTGCGCGTGGCGACTTGCTGCGCGCGGCTCCTGGCTGCGTGCGGCGACGGGCTGCGCGCGGCTCCTGGCTGCGCGTGGCGACGGGCAGCGCGCGCGGCTGCGGGCTGCGTGCGGCGACGGGCTGCGCGGGCGTGGCCTAAGCAGGCTGCGCGCGGGCGGCGTAAGGGGCACACGGGCGGGGCCGAAACGGGCTGCGCGGGCGGGGCCTAAACGAATCGCGCGGGCTGTTTAAGAGGGGCGCGCGGGCACTAGGCAAGGCAGGTACGTTTTAGTGAGGTGAAATAGTAAACGGTGGGCCCTAATCCTAGGTCCTAAGGACCTATGCTCTGATACCATGTTAGAATCTTAGGCAAGGTGGTGTTGACTATCGAGGAGTTTTGGTACAAAAGTGAAACCTAAGGGGTTGTACCCCACAGTGAGTACCTCACTAAAGCCTTCCTAAACTAAAACATATAAACATATGTTTGACATCTTTGTTGGCCTTCTTACTTCCTGCTAGTAGGGAGCACACCGTTTGTTGCAATGTAACTTTGAAGGCATTGAAATCTCAGCGCTAGCATGTTCTATCCAGGAATTCAGGGAATGTGTGTCCTGATCGATATTATTGCTCCTCCTATTTGGAATTCTCTAGTCCTCCCATCCTTGTTAATGTTTTTTCTTCCGTCTTATGGTGTTCAGTTGTTGTCTCCCCCCTTGTCTTCTTACCTTCCCCTTTCTACATTGTATACATCCTTTTTTGTGTTGTAATACCCTCAAGCAAGTTAACAAACATGAATGTGCTATAAGTCCTCCTCTATTTTCTGCTCTAGCCTGTGCACGTTCCAGAAATATTGTGCACGTTCAAGTGACGTATCTGCTTGCTTGCTCCTACTTGCTCTTCGTTTCAATGTGGCCCTTTGCCCTTGCTTTGCTTGTTCCCATCGAACGCTGGGACATCGTCGTTGCAGTTATATCAAAAATAACAAGCTCACTGGTACAATCCCTGCAGCAATGAGCTCCCTTGAGAACCTGATGGGCCTGTAAGACCTCTTCTTTGATGAGCCTTTTCCCCTCCCTCCGAGTGCTTGATCTTCCATCATCTTCATTCATTCCACTTCGCAGTCGCACCAACCTGACCCATGGCCGCTGCACCTAGGGGACATCCTCCACACGCTGGAGGGGTAGAGGGTCACTCAGGGGGGGGGAGGGTCAATGGGTCAGAGGGTCTAAGGGATTCACGAGTCAAACCGTATGTCTGTACCCCCGCTGAATTAATACAAAGGACCATTTGAGAGAGAGAGAGGGTACTAGCCTCTGCCCTCTCCCTTAGCCCTCTGCCCTCTTCCTTTGAGCTATATAAGAGGCCTCTCACGGCTTCTTCTCTTCATTATTCTGTTTGGTGGCAGATTTTTTCGCACGCGCCGGCCGTCTTCGGCGGCCGACGCTCGACAGCGGCCTTTGGGTGAAGGGGACGGCAAGGGAGAAAGGGACAAGCAACTATAATCCAAGACAAACACGCAATGGCATCACCTACACCTGTCTAGGACAACACACGGCAACAACATGGCGCAGGAAGAGGCGGACGCTACATCTGATCCGCATCAAGAACCGCGAGAAGCCCCGTCAGCGAGCGATGCAGCTCCCGCACCACCGCCGTGCTTGCGCCGATCACATCGGCTGCAGTCCCAGCGCGCGAAAAGCGCCGCAAGCCTCGTACAGCCGTCCCCAGCTGCCCAGCTCCGGCAACTCCTCCCCTCGCGGGCGCAGCCAACACGGGCGCCAGGAGCTCCGCGAGCCGATCCGCGACGTCAAGTCACTCATCCCGGGAACCGTCATCCAGGGAGTTCCCACGAGAGAGACCAGCGTGACCATACATCTGGATCAGATGAACAGCCCGCAACACCTCGCAGAGGCGCCACAGCTGCCCAAGGATCGCCTCCGGGACCTCTGCCGCGCGAAGAGAACCCACAAATGCCTGGAACGGCTGTGCAGCGCCAGCAGCATGTGGAGCGGGATCGCCAGGCAGAAGGGACGAATAAGGAGCAGGGAGACAGAAGGACGAGGGGCAACTGCCGGCGGTGCAGCCACAGGAGGTACAACCGGAGGAGAAGCGGCAGATGCACGCGGGAACTGCTGGTTCGCCTGCAAGGCCCTCTCCTCGCGCATCGCAGCCGTTACGACCCGCTACAAGTCCGCCATCGTCACCGGTGCATCAAACGCCCCGCCACGTCCACGACCGTGACCCCCCCTCCAGCCCCATCGCCCACCCCGTCGCGAGTGCCATTTCCCGCCTGATGAACGGCGCTGAGGTGACTCCTGTCGACAACGCGACGACTCCCACTCATCCTGCGGGAAGGGCCAATGGGGTCGTGATGGGCGGCGATCGGGGGACTGAGGTCGACACGACTGCCTAGATGGAACCACCGGAGGCGCTGCACGCGCAGACTGAACAGCCTCGGCGTGCACCACCGCCGGGGCCTGGCCGCCAGTGGTGGCGGACACCGCCGCTAGCACCAAGTCGCCGCCATGAGCAGCAGGGGCAGCGGCGACAATCGGAGCGGCAAGGACGGGGGAAACTGGTGGCGGAACAACCGCAGCAGGTGCCACGTGCTCAGGCTCCTGGCAACCAGGAGCGAGAGGAGCGACCACAGCAGCCGGATGCGACGCTGCAGCGTGGGACTCACGATTTGCTGCCGCAGGCCCCCGAGCTGGCGACGACACGGTTTTCAGGGCAGGCGGCAATGGCGGCTTCGCCGCGACGATTGCCGATGCAGTCGCCGGAGGCGACATTCCGCGCACCACTGACCCAACGGCAGCGCGCACTGGCGACAGCTCAGGCATCCCAGCGATCACCATCGCGAGAAGGAAGGCGTCGGGGAGCGGGCCGACGAGGAGGAAGCGGCGAAGGGGGAGGACCTGAAAATGCGTTCCAAGCGGCGGGGCGAATGGCTATAACACCACTAGTTGCGAATTGGGATATCACACCACTCTGCGACAGTCGCCAACCCCCCTTGTCACGCCGTCTACCACCAAACCTGTGTCAGCCGCTGGCGCTGCTGACCCCACTCCTTCACCTATCGCGAAACCCAAGTTCCATCGCTGGTTGGCGCCTGCTGTTGTTCCTCCCGTGTCTTACACTTCGCCAAACCTCGCCGAAGCGACCTGCCTGACCTAAAATTAAGGCTCGGCTGCGATCGTTCCAACGTGGCGAATGGGAGCAGCTCTACATTGACGCCACTGAAGCAAACAACACCCCCCCACCACCACGCCACAAACCCGATGAGACCAGGGTCATCAGCAGGGCAGAGGGACTGGCAAAGCGGGGAAGTTTGCGTCGGGCCATACTGGCCCTTGAGTCAACGCAAATATGCACGCCCAGTCCACAGATTCTGACCGAGTTGAGCCAAAAACACCCGCCAGCTGGCGCCGAGCCTCTGGCATGGCCCCCCAACGACCAACCACAGAGCCTCACCATTTCGTACGCCGACTTCGCCAAATTGCTGAGCCGCTGCGAGAACGGGGTTGGAGCCGGCCGGCCCATCGGGCACCACATTCGAACATCTGCGCGACGCGGCAGTTACAAATGCATCGATCTGCACCCATCTGCACACCCTGGTCAACACTTTGATGGGGGGAAAACTACAACAGCCGGTAGCAGAGCTACTCACGTCATCGCGCCTGGTGGCACTGGCCAAACCAGAAGGAGATGCCCGCCCCATAGCCATAGGCGAGTGCCTGACTCGTCTAGCAGCAAAGGCTGCTCTGACGGTCATGGGAGAAGCGGCGCGCGGATTCTTCCTCCCGCTGCAGTATGGCGTTGCCGTGCCGGGGGGAGCCGAAGCGATCATACACACAGCGTGCGCATTCACTGATGCACGGCCAGAGTCCCTCGTATTGCAAACGGATCTGTCAAACGCTTTCAACAGCATCTCACGACAGGCGATAGTAACCGCCCTACAGGACCCGGCCCTCTTGCCTCTGCTCCCGCTAGTCCAGTTAACCTACGAGAGGGAGCTGCCGCCAGGGGTGCCTTTCTGTCACGACGGCGTCCGACTGTTAGGTAGCTTCCTAGGTACCACGGGTGGGGCTGCTTCCTTTCTAACAGGGCAACTTCAGTCAATGGCGAATACGCTGCCGCTACTGGAACGCACGAACCCACAGATTGCATCTCTCCTACTGACCCGATGTATCTCCCGCCGAGTGGCCTACCTCACAAGGACCACCCCGCTCAATATCTTGTCTGGTGATGCATGGTCGCAATGGGGTCGGGACCTGCTCGCCACGCTTCTAGTATCATGCGGAATACGCTATCCGTCCAGCGTGGCAGAGCAGACACGAGTATGGGAGCAATCTTCATTGCCGCCGTCACTCAGAGGGATTGGTCTCACGGACCCCACAGTAGAAGGCGTATCCGGATTCCTTGCTAGCTTCACCCAGGCATCACTACTACTGAACTCACTGCCACTCGCGCCAAGGGACGTATTGACAGCTGCCAAGAATCACATGCTTCTGCCACGAGACACAAGTACAGCGCTTCATTCATGGCTAACGGAATGCGAAGCTGCACTGCCTCAAGAGGCACGGGAGATAGTAGAAAAGGAGAGGTTAGAACCGGCGGGAGTAAGGCTGCATCACGCTCTCTCAGCACAGGTCCAGGGGAGAAGATACGCAAAGCAGGTCCAGGAGTCAAGGCGCATGACTCTGAATCCGTTGTGTGGACATACCCAGCGCCTCTTCTCTCTGACCGGCTATGGCACTGGTGATTGGTTGCTGGCACTCCCGATCGAGCAAATCGGCGGATTGGCCCTGAGCACTTCGCAAACGCAGTCCGCTTCCGGCTGGGCCTACCCTTCGCAACACCGGCAAAATGTGACTGCTCAAAACACGTCGAGATCACCGACCCGAGACTGCCCAACCACTTGTTTCGCTGCGGCACAGGAAAACACAGGATCAACACGCATAATGAGCTTCGGGATGCCTGCATTAGCATGGCGCAGGATGCGGGCTTTATCGTCCACAGCAAATCCTCAGCCTACTATCCAGTAGATGAGCAGACTGCCGACCTTACGATGATGGACCGGAGCTCAGGCGCAGTCTATATTTGTGATGTCACCATCACAGATCCCATTAGCACCAGGGACCCGACTGCGGCTAAGGGCAGGGGATGGGCAGTGCGGGAGCAGGCGGATAAGAAGATTAAACACTATGCGAGCCGGCCTGACACAGTGGGCTTTTTCCCTCTTGCTATTGAGACCTACGGGTGTCCTTGTGCGGAGGTGCCCGTGTTCCTGAAATTGCTGGCGGATTCTGCTGCTAGGTGACACTTCAACGCCGAACCTAACTCATTTCATGCAGCTAGATTCCTCCAACTTTTCAGGCAGCGGTGGTCCGTGGCGCTACAGAGGGCCCAGTCGGTGGGGTACCTCATGAAGTCTTGTCAAGCGGCCATGGCAGAAAACCCTCCAGTTGGGGGAACACAGCACAAGCTCCACCTGGGAGACAGCCTCACCGTGATTGAGCCCCTGGTGGAAGTTTAAAAAGGGGTAGGCCAGCGGATGGTTGGTTCGGTGGCTTGTTAGGTTGCTTGTTAGTTTGTTTTGTTACCTTGCCTTTTATACGTTGGTGAAAGACAAGCACGGCGGGGCGACGACAACTCATTAAAGTTTGTGCCAAAGATGGGGGTTGGGGGTGGAGGAAGGGGGGATAAGGTTAAGGGCAAGAGAGGGTGGGGTGCAGGGAGAGTGGGAGAAACTGAAGAACCCAACAACTAAATGAATACCCCTTTTGAGACATCTTGGTGTTCAGGGCGGCTATAGACCTTTTTTTAGGCATCTCAGTGTTCTGGAGCGGGTATGGTAACACGTGGAAAAGCCTTCTTTTTGTGATCAATAAGAGAGGGGCGTGACAGAGAGAAGGGAAGGCCAGTAAGGTCGTGGTGGGGGCACACGGGGGCCAGGAGGGGAGGACAGGGGAGGGAAGGAGAACTGTATCAGAAATCCGTCAATTGGCTATGGTGGTAAAGCAGAGTTAGGGGGGCATGATGGGGCACGAAAACGAGGAGGTAAAGCAAGGTGAGGGACAGGAGACTGAAGGATCATCTGAGGTAGAGTTTAGTGTGCTAACATGATGAACAAGGGAACCACGATGGAAAGAGGGGGGCTTGGGTGGACAGGGGGAAAGAGGAGAGTGAGAGGCAGGGGGTGCTTAGAGAGAGCGAAGGGCTGGACTGTAACTTTTTCCGGCTGATAGATGTAAGTTCCTGCTTTTGATGCTCCATTCCAAACCCTGACGTACCATCATACAACACGTCTGTTGCTGTTTCCCCCTCCAGATGGCCGCCCTTTACTAGCACCGACCTATAATCACCAACAAAAAGCAGAGTGACAGACAAACGCACATTCACATTCACATTCACGCAGGGCAGAGGCCGAGGCAGAGGCAAACACACATTCACAGGCATGGGCAGCACATTGACATGTAAACAGTGGGGGAGGGAGATGCATAGATGGTTAGGGGACAGAAGTATGAACGCAGCTAGCAACCCATAGGCTGTTGGCAACTCTGCAAAACGAGTTCTGGCAGCTATTTGCAATGTTGGCTTGGCGGCAGAATGTCGACAAGCACGCGTGTAATGAGTCGTGTTTTGAGTGGGCTCAAAACACATCTGGCAGCTCTTTGCCATGTTGGCTTGGCGGCAGAATGTTAACAAGCAGAACTCTTTCTGGCACGATGTTGACACGGTGCGGGCGGGCAACTCTTTTTGCCGAGAGACCTCGAATCTCTCTGTTTGCGAATCACCAGAGAGAGATCTACTTCCCGCAAAGCAGAGAGCTCGGATCTCCTCTCACCACCAAAGAGATGGCTTTTGATCTTGTGCACATTCAAAGCTCTCTTCCACGCACACATAATGTCTCTCCCTCTCACCTGGCACCAAGAGCGTGAATCTCCTTGATCTTGTGCACACTCAAAGCTCTCTTCCACGCACACATAATGTCTCTCCCTCTCACCTAGCACCAAGAGCGTGAATCTCGTTGGCTGCTCGCCTCATGTCCTCGGTTGTTCGAATGGACCCGGGAGGAAGCAGCAGCGGGGCCTCAGCCTCTCGGAGGTTGGGCATGACGGCAGTTGCCAGGGGAATGAGGCGAGATCTGTGGTTTTGGGGAGGCAGAGAGATGGAGAGTTTGAGATGAGAAGATACTGAGCAAGTAGGAATGAGCAAAGCTGCAGCAGAGCAAGCAGCAGCAGGACTTCTGCCTCTTGCAGGTTGGGCGTGACAACAGTGACCAGGGGGATGAGGCAAGATCTGCGGTTTTGGGGAGGCAGAGAGACGATAAGCATGAGACAACATCAAAATGGCACGAGTATTTTAGCATGGCTACATATGTAATACACTCAAGTCCTGGTGTGCCTTACTGAACAGATTTATTTCAGTGTTTACACTGGCCAACATACTAGTTACCCAGCAAACCCAGTGCCCCAGATATTTTACTCATCCAGGTTCAGGTTTAAGGTTATTGTACAGTAAACCCTAAACTCAAAACCCTTCTAACTAGACCTCTCATCACCATTTCGCACCGAATCAGCTGCATGACCTGGTTGTCTGTAAGAGAATCCCCACTGGACACCACGAGCACTGGATCTACCATCAGAGGGACTGACGGAACGAACGGGTAGGAGGAATTGGGCGGGGGTGGGGATGGGGGAGAATGGATAGAGAGGGAAAGAGGGAGGAGTGGAAGAGGGAGGAGCGGAAGACGGGTGCAGCGAAGAGGGGTGAGGGAATGAGGGGTGAGGGGAAGAGGGGCATAGGGAGGGTGAGAGGGAGGAGGAAGATAGAAACAGGAGAAAGGGGAAAGGAAGAATGAGGGCGTATCCAGGTTCGGGTCATGGGCACTGTTCCGGGCATGCGCGATTTGCGGATGCCTCAAACAACACAAAACACCACTTTGGGTCCAGGGCCTCCATGCGACCCCCAAACTGGCGCGTGGGTTTCCCCGCCTAAACTTCGGGCCCCACAACAGTCGCATCCAATTGAGACGCGCCATTCCATGACACACGAACTCTTTCCCCGGTTGAGCGACACTCACCCCACCCTCATCTCCGTAAAAATTCCCGGTGGGAAAAGTCACATGTAGATCTGCACGGCTCCAAATCCCAAGCCAACCACACACCCCTCTTGCAACATCCCCATGCTAGGGTTTCAGCACTTGGACAATCACAACAAGCATGAGGAAACAGATCTCACTCACAAGTGTTCCCGAGCTTCCACACTAGCCCGCTATCTATGTTTATAGCGACTCCATAGTAAAGCAATGCCTCCACGCCGAAGCGCACGCGTCAAGG